GAAGGATCGCCGGAGCCCAGCAGGTTGAGGCTGTGGTGGCCGGGAGCGGCCACTGCACTCCAGTCTGGGCGACAGAGTGAGACTCCAACTCAAAAAAAAAAAAAAAAGACATGATCATCAAAATGGTATATTACTGGTCTAACTACAAACACAGAGATCAAGGGAATAGAATAGAGTCCAAAAAACAAACGTATACATAGATAGTCAATACTGTTTGACCAGGGTATCAAGGTAATTCAATGAAGAAAGTAAAAAGCTTTTTGCTGAAATAGTTGGTAACTATACAGATTAAATAAACCTCAGCCTCCATCTTATTCCATATACAAAAGTCAATTCAAGATGGATCATGAACTTTAACATAAAACCTAGACTCAGACCAAGCATGGTGGCCCACGTCTATAATCCCAGTGCTCTGGGAGGTGAGGCAGGATGATAGCTTGAGGTCAGGAGTTTGAGACCAGTCTGGGAAACATAGCGAGATCCCTTCTTCACAAAAAAAATCCAAAAATAAGTCATGCATGGTGGTGCACCTGCAGTCTTAGCTATTTGGGAGGCTAAGGTGTGAAGATGGCTTGAGCTCAGGAGTGAGAGGTTATAGTGGGCTATGATCACACCACAGCACTCCAGCCTAGACAATAGAGTGAGACCTTGTCTCTGAAAAATAAAAATTAAAAATGAATAAAAAATTAAAATTGGCCAGGCTCAGTGGCTCAAGTCTGTAATTCCAGCACTTTGGGAGGCTGAGGTGAGGGGACTGCCTGAGCCCACGGGTTTGAGAACAGTCTGGGCAACTTGGCAAGACCTCAACTCTACAATAAATAAAAAAATTAGCCAGGCATGGTAGCACACACCTGGAAGGCTGAGGTGGAAGGATCGCCTGAGCCCAGCAGGTTGAGGCTGCGGTGATAGTGAGCCTGTCACTGAACTCCAGCCTAGGCGACGAAGTGAGACTCCAACTCAAAAAAAAAAAAAAAAAAAATTAAAATCTTGAATCATAAATCTTCTTGTGAAAAACATAGGAGAATATATTTGCAACCTTGGGGTAAGTGAAAATTCTTAAACAGGACATAAAAAGCACAAACCATTAAATAATTTTTGTTAAATTACACATCATCAAACTTAAGGTTTCCTCTTCAATTAATGACAGCATTAAAAATGAGTAGCAAAGTTACAGAATGGGAGAAAATATTCATAGCTCACCAATCTGACAAAGAACTTGTATTCATACCATAGTGTAAATTCCCACAAAATAAAGATTTCAAAATGGGCAAAATACTTGGGCACTTCACAAAAGAAGATATACAAATGGCCCATAAATACATGAAAAGATACTTAACATCGTTTGTCACTGGGAAATGCAAATTAAAACCACAATGATAGACTATTTCACACCCAAATGTTGATACATGTATAGAACAACTGAAACTTCTCATATACTGCTGGTCAGTGTATGATACAACCACAATGGCAAGTTTCTTAAAAAGTTAAACATATATCTTTTCTATGGCTCAGAAATTCCACTCTTAGGTGAACTGAAGAGAAAGGAAAACTGTAAGCATTTGAATGCTCATAGCAGTTTTATTCATAATAGTCAAAAGCTGGAAACACTTCAAATGTCTGCCAGTAGAAAAACAGAAAAACAAATTATGGCATATTCATACAAAGAATAAAGAGGAACAAATTACTGATTCACACATCAACATGTGGAAATTAAAAACAAAGAAGTCAGAGACAAAAAGTACACATATAAGAGTCCACTTATCTATAAAAAATTCAAGAACAAACAAAACTAATTTATGGTCATAGAAATCAGAAAGGAATTTTGGGTGGTAGAGTGGGGGAAGAGAGGAATTGGCTGCAAAGGAGCAGAAGGAAACGTCAGAAATGATGGAAATGTTTTTTGTTTTTTTTGAGGTTGTAGTTATATAGTATATATAAAGGAGTTTTAAAACTCCTTTAGCTGTATAGTTCATATTAGTATATTTTATTGTTTGAAATTTTGTACCTCATTAAAATTGTTTAAAAAGTAAAATTAAAAAAGAATCATTGTTATTTAAACCCATGGTCCCTTCAGCATAAAGCTACCCCTTCAGCATAAAGCTACCACCACCCATTAATATAGGCAGGATGAGGTAACTTCCATGTGTATGTGGGGTCACTCAGTGAACTAGTCCAGTTTCGCAAACTGTCCTACCAACTTCACAGAATACTCCATGTGATATTGTAGCTAGTCTTTCAGCATTTGTCTTCTTTTGTTTCATTTCACTTACCAGTATGTTTTCTTGTTTAGTGAGCTGCTGTGGAGACTTATTTTTTTCTAAATCCTATCCCTTTCTTTTACCCTAATCTCCAAATTACATTTCCATTTCTTCTCTAAAGAGTATATTTATTCCCAACCATGAAAAATCGTCCCAGAAACAAATAAAATTATTAAAATGTTATCAAGTGTGAGCAACAGCTAGATAAAGAAGAGCTTTAACCTGAAAATGCAGATGTATTGTCTCCACTCTGACCATCCTAACACCTAGATCATATGTATTAGTGAGTTTTCAGATCTATCCCAGAATTACTGCCTGTACATGAGCCAGTTTCAAAACCATTTGCTGTTGTTTCTTTTTTTTTTTTTTTTTTTAGAGTCAAGGTCTCATTCTGTTGCACAGGCTGGCATACAGTAATATTATCATAACTCACTACAACCTCATACTCCTGGGCTCAAGTGATCCTCCCATCTCGGCCTCCTGAGTAGTTGCAACTACAGATTCCCGCCACCACACTCATCTAATTTTCTCTCTCTTTTTTTCTCTCTCTCTTTCTTTCTTCTTTTTTTGTAGAGATAGGGTCTATCTCTCTTGCTGTCTTTAAATTTTTGTAGAGATGGGGGTCTCGCTATATGGACCAAGTTAGTCTCCAACTCCTGGCCTCAAGTGATTCGCCCAAAATGCTAAGATTACAGGCATGAGCCACTTGGCCCATACATTGTTAAAACTTCATTACTTAGGTGTATCACTATAATTTTTTCACTACTAACAGAAGCATGACTCCAAAAAGCTTTTAAATAAATATGACACGAGGCAAGTTTCTAGGACTAGCAAATCTTAGCCAAACTTCTCTTAATAAACAAAAGTCAGGAACCACCACAGCTTTCTGATGCACTAACATACAATGAGAGCATATATACAGTATCTAAAAAGCATGCTCAGCATACATACAGCTCAACGTGATAACAATGTCCCTGATGCACATTTATTTAAAATATAAATGCTAAGGAAGTAAGTAGTTACAGGCCCCAAAACACAAGTGATTTTTTTTGTCTAATAGAACAGTAAATACAAAAATTAACAATTATGCTCCATTTTCAAGGACAATTACAAGAACACCAAAGATGCTGTCATATACATAATCTTAATAATCACAGCGTTCATGTAATTCAGTAAAAATTTTCTATTAAAAAAAGGAAAAAAATTCACTTATTCAGATGTTAGACTTGACAGAAACCCAATCATATGATAGTAACAAGCCTGGAAACACCAACAAAGGTCTCTGAGTGGCCAAGGGCCACAAAGTCTGTGCTTGGAGAGGGAGAGCAACAGAATCCCTGGCAGCCACTGAAAATGCTCCAGAAAGGCAGAGGGAAGAAAATATCTTACTACAAACACACAAGTCTGAAGTTACTTAGTAAATAGATAACCAGTCTTAATCACTACAATAATTTCTGAAACTAGTAACAATATAGTAAATGACGTCCTTCATGGTGACCTTGAATCACCAAGAAAGCATGAGAGTGTGCTCAATACCTCTCGTTAAATACAGCAGAATGTGCATGTGTTTTAGAAAGGTAGCCAAAGGATGGTTTGAATTTTCATCATTCCACCATAGTTTAAAGTCCTTCACTGCACTTATCTATAGGTGTCAGGTGTGTGAAATACTCCATTTCTAACGATGGTGTTCCAATATTAACTACTAAGAACTCTCTTCATCTTAGAGGAATTGGTACCAGACTGAGTTTACACCCAGAGCCCTTTGTGGAATGAGATAAAACAGATTTTTTTGAGGTTTTTAAACATATTTTGAAATGGGATTTCTTGTGTTATTTTTTCCATGAGAGAGGAGGAAAAAAAAAAAAAAATCCTGCCCACAAAGTGACAAGGCCAGGGCTTATTCATGGGCTCATTATCACCTATCAAAATTCCAAGTTCTTCTCTACTTTTTAATTAGTTAGTGACTAATTATTCTCAGTTTCTCACTCCCTTTCCATTCCCCAAATAAAATAACACCTTATATTTCCATCACAAAACTCCCTTCCCTCTCCTTAATTCCCTTTGTCCTCATTTCATTTCCCATGGCAGCATCAACTGGCTGCCAGCACTGCTCAAAATTAACATTGGCAGGCTATGAAACGTGGGATCGTGTGACTCTTAGAATTGCATTGTACCTAGAAAAGACACAGGTCCTCCTTTTCCTGCCCAGTTTGAGAAGAAATATGTTACCTCCCTGGCTGGCTTGGAGATCACTTATCAGTCCTACTGAGGACAGCTGATAATCTTGTCTGCTTCTGTGTGCCAGAACCTGGGCTTAGGTGCCTTGCCCACACTATCTACTTAATCCTCACAACTGCCCTGTAAGATAGGTCCCATTTGATCCCCACTTTGTTGATAGGTATAGGTAGGCTGCAGCTAAGACGTTAAGTAACTTAACCAAGGTCACACTGTTCCTAAATGAGGGAGCAGGATCAGAACCCACTTATGACTCCAAAGCCCATGCTTTTCACTTAGTTAAGTTTATATGTAGTTATTGAGAGTATACACTGAATGCCCCAAATTCACTTCACTATGCTTTAGCTGAGTACAAAGCATGTATCTTGTCTTCAAATAAAATGGTTATTAATGTATTAATTTTTAAAAAGCTAGAAGACAAATTAAGCCAAAGTGTACAGACTTGGGAAGCCTTTAAAATGTGTTGTTTGAAAATCACTTTAACACTTAAGTATGTAAGAATATTACCTGGGGTTACAGTTAGCTGAAAGCAATGAAGCTTGTTTGGATCAGGAAAATGCACTTTGCATGTACCTGCAAAAGAAACAGCACATCAGGAAGGTCTGGTATGAGCAGGAGCTACATGCTGAGGCCAACCTTTGAATACATGTAAAGTTAGCAATGCTGGAGGGGTTTACAGAAGTCGTGATCTCCCTCACTATTTGTTTAATAATAATAATGTCAATATGCTAAAATTGCAAACCAGTGGTTTTTGCCATGTGTTTTTCACCGTATGATCTTTTACTAGTTAATTCCAATTGAGATGTTTTCCTTCAAGATTTAATGGTCACTAAAAATAGAGATCTTTCCATTAGTTTCAATAATTATGCTACTTTACTTTGAAAAGAAGAAACCATACCCCAGGGAGATTAATGCATACGGGTAAAGGTGAGCTAAACATGAAAAGAGAAAAAAAAAAACCCAAAACAAGAAAAACAGAAAAAGAACCCAGGTAAAACTTCTAGACTGTTGCCCTAGCACCACAGACATGGAAGTTAAAAGAAGTGTGCTGCCCAGGAGTTAGCTTCCACCCAGAGTTTACTATCATTTTTTTAACACCTTCACAAACTAAGTGATAATTCAGCTTGCTTTGTTGGGAAAATGAGGCTCTGCTGACCCAGAAGGCAATGTTCTGTGCCCACTTGTCCTAAGTTGAAAGGGGCATGAATCAGGACAAGGAGTTCCCCTGGGGGAAGGGCTACTGGTTGTTGACACAGGCCAGGGAAGTTGGCTACATCCCACATCTGCCTCCTTCAACAAACAACACAAAAGAATGGTGATCGCCCATAAAATAAATACTCAGGGAATCTGGGAAGAATATACAGAGAAATTTTCTATATTTATCTATAAACTCAGAAAATATTATGCTAAATTCCTCAGTTCACCACTGGCTTTATTTTTTACAAGTCCAAACAAAAATATTAGCTTAGTTTTACAATAATATAAGTTTTCATCAAAAATAGAACAATTCAAATTTAGACTCAGCAATGGCCTTAGAGATCATCTAGTCCAATACCCTCAATTAGGACAGGTGACAGGAAGGTCCAGAGAGCTTCAGTGACTAGCCCAAGATTACACAGGTTATTGACAGAAGCAAGGTTAGTTCCCAAGTCAATAACCAGTTCAGGCTGGGCGTGGTGGCTCAAGCCTGTAATCCTAGCACTTTGGGAGGCCAAGGTGAGGGGACTGTCTGAGCCCACGGATTCGAGACCCGCCTGGGCAATTTGGCAAGACCTCATCTCTCCAATAAATCAAAAAAATTAGCTGGGCGCGGTAGTACACGCCTGTATTTCCAGCTCTGAGGCGGAAGGATCGCCTGAGCCCAGCAGGTCAACACTGGGGTGCACTCCAGTCTGAGCGATGGAGTGAGACTCCAACTCAAAAATAAATAAATAAATAAATAAATAACCAGTTCATGACTCTTACCCCTATTGCAGGCCTCATTTCCTTTTAGTACTTAATGAACATGTTAGACATGGAAGATATGACACATAAAAACAACACAAGCCTTGTTAGTGGGCTTTCCTTTCCAGGTGAAAACTCAGTCTAGAAGAGCAAGAAGCAGTCTTAGAGATTTCATGGTCATAATCCTTACTTACTAACTCAGGGCCAAAGAGTTTTAAACTTTCTCCCAAATTACACATTTAAAACTATGTAGGAAATACTTAAAATGGGTTTCATTTTCCTAATCTTAACTTGATAAATGTCATCTTTCTAGTGAACTGTAAGTAACAAACACATATGGCTAGGGCTTGGGAAACATTTCAGTGATTTGTTGAAGTTGGCATTATCCGCTTGTTTTTAATACCTAGCATTCTCCTTTGTTTTAATTTTAAAGAGATGCAGAAAACAATCCCCCTGAAAAAGACTGGCCCACCAAAAATAAACTATCAAGGTAGATAAAAAGACAATAACACTACTGAAAAGAACTCAAAAAAATTAAAGCTCAAGAAAGGTTAAGTTCTAAAAAGCAAGAGGTTAAAAAGTCAGGGTTTTGTTTTAGTTCAATGCAGGTGCTTTATTAAAACTCCAAAATTAAGCTTTTTCTCTACATGTAGGCATGGGATATCTAAGTCTCTAACAATATTTCAGGCTATCTGAAATAGACTTTTTTTTTTCTTCAGAGAAACCTCTATAAACTCCCACGTACAGAGTTCCAAACTAGTTCTAAATAGTTACTAAACAGCACTACTACATGGCAAGTTATTTTGTTCGTTTTTGTATTTTAGAAAGATTATGAAACAGATAGGAAAGATGTATTCTTTGGTGGCTTCTTATTTCATTTTCAGAATAATGAGCAGCACCCTTTTGGAAAGCATGTCTTACCTGTATAAAATGATTTAGATTTTTCCCTCTTTGATCAGGAGAGAAGGTAGGAAGAAAGAGCAAAAAGAAGAGGCAAGTAGCATGTTGTCTTTTTATCTGATACCTTAGCCATAAGACTTGGAAAAAGCCATGCCTTTTTCAAATCTAAGGTATTTAGCTAAGATCCTGATTTAAAAGTCAGTCATAAAATTGTGTTGTTTCTAAACTGCACTTTATGGGTTAAAAACCAACAGTCTTTAAGAGTCATACTCAAGAACAAATGAACCTTTTGTAAATGAAAACTTCTTTGTGGTCTTTGATTAAATGTCTGCATGTAGGTTCAAGTTGGGGGTTGTGGAAAGACATGAAGGAGAGGGATCACCTTATTTTTCTTTTTCATAGGACGATGTCCTAACCTACACAAAAGTAGAAACAACAGTATAAAGAACCCATTCCCCAGTTTCAACATTTTGCCAATCTTGCTTCATCTATTCTACCCCCTCACAAGGTTGTTTTCCCAGAGCATTTTAAAGAAAACTATTCCGTCTGTAAATACTTCAGTAGGTAGAAAGATAACCTCTTAAAAGAATTCCAAGACAGCACCAGTTGAAGAAAACTGAGGTCAAGCACTCCAGTGACTTTCAAGACATTTTTGGTTGAGGCCCACACTAAGAAAGACATTTTAGATCACAACTTACTATACCTATCAATAAAAATATTATGTCAAAATAATTTCTCAAGAAACATTACATACTTACCCTCATAAATTAATTTCACAACCTCTTGGGGTCACAGCCCCCTCCCATTATCTTTCCAACTCCAGGTGGAAGCTGGAATGGCCCCTGTCCTACTCCACATCAGAGATGCCTCCACACCCAAACCTAAGTTCTCTACAGCACTCACCCAAACCAGGAGACCCATTTATAAAACATTTTACCCACATCAACAGACATCCTCAGTCTCAGAACTATTTTTACACCAGGAATAATGATAAAAAGTTATAATTTTTAAAAATATATAATATAGTCAAAGCTTTCAGACTTTGGTGGCCTCATGAAGTAATAATGGGTTTGAAAAAGCATTCATGATAGAGAAAAAGAAAAATTGACACATGACACACAATAATTGCCTGGCAAGCAGACTTTCTGAGTGTGCCACACTCATGAGTAAGGCCTGCATGCTGGCCTTGCGTGTCTGGGGCAGAAGATATCAAGCAAAGTGTAGACCCCTGCCGACTGTGAGGCAGTGCAGCTGCCCACCTCAAACATATAGACAAGTTACAAATAAGCACCTTGTGGACCAAAAGCTGGCATCACCTCTAACAAAAATATGACTGTCCATTATTGATTTATATACCTTTTCATTCAAAGAGGATGTGGGACAGAATGTAGGTGGACAAGGTACAAAACCTACCCAAATGCACCTCTGCTACAGGAAGGAGATGGAAAGCATTCAGAAAGACAGCAAAATCTTGTTCTTATTAGATCCTTGAAAAAATTTCACCTTTTCACACACAAGTAAAATTCATTCCTAACATACATAAAAAATGGGCGTTTTGTTGTACAAGTTAGTTAACACATGAAACGCTTTTTTCATGTAATTAATATATAGTACTTAGTGTCTGGAGATGCTATACTTACAAGGTAAATTAGCTTCAAGTTCTGCAACCTCTGTAGAAACAAAAAAATTATTGTTAATATCAGTCAATTATTCCACATAAAATCACCAGTTCTAAATTGGCAATTTCCTCTAGAACACAGAAGAAAAAATAAGCAATCTGGACAAACTGGTCTAAAGTTTAGACTTTAAGCCAGCAGTCCCCGAACCTTTTTGGTATCAGGGACTGGTTTTGTGGAAGACAATTTTTCCACGAACCAGGGGTTGGGGGGATCATTATGCATTAGATTCTTACAAGGAGCACACAACATAGATCCCTTGCATGTGCAGTTCACAATAGAGTTCATGCTCCTATGAGAATCTAATACGGCCGCTGATCTGACAGGAGACAGAGTTCCACTCACCCACTGCTCACCTTCTGCTGTGCAGCTCAGTTACTAACAGGCTTCGAACCAGTACCAGTCCGTGGCCTGGGGGGTTGGGGATCCCTGCTTTAAGCCTTTTAGCTGCTTTCAGATACACAAAGTGACTTGCAGAATGCCAACAGATAAGCAGTGGAATGACTCCCCCTCAAAATCCAATTTACATATGTATACATTGTGTCTATGTATTTTCCCAGACTTATCTTCAAGTTGCCCCCTTGTAGCTACATTTCTAGGCCCCAGTCCTCTCCCCTGGGGCCACAGACCACTGAGTTCCTCTTCTAACAGTCACTCATTTGGTGCTTAAGCCCAGCACCCTTCTTTGGGACAAAGTTATGAATCTACCACAATCCTGCTAGTAAAGAGCTGAGGTCTTTTGTCTAAGATCCAGTACAAGGCAAAGTGCCCACTCCCACCACTTGTATTCAGCACAGTACTGGAAGTCTTAGCCAGAGCAATCAGACAAGAAAAAGAAATAAAAGGCATTTAAACCAGAAAGAAAGATAAAAAATTATTCCAATTTGTAGTTGACATGATCCTATAAGTAGAAAGCCCATGGCCAGGAACAGCAGTGGCTCATGCCTATAATTCCAGCACTTTGGGAGGCAGAGGCAAGAGGATTGTCTGAGCTCAGGGGTTCAAGACCAGTCTGGGCAGCTTGGCAAGACCTCGTCTCTACAATAAATTAAAAAATTAGCTGGATGCAGTGGCACATGCTGGTGGTTCCAGCTACTTGGAAAGGCCAAGGCGGAAGGACCACTTGAGCCCAGCTGGTCAAGCCTGCGGTGGCCATGAGCACATGCCACTGTACTCCAGCCTAGGTGACAGTGTGAGACTCTGACTCCAAGAAAAAAAAAAAGCCCTAAAGACTACACACACACAGAGTTAGAATTAATAAACAAATTCAGTTAAGTTGCAGGAAACAAAATTAATACACAAAAATCAATTGTGTTTTTATGCACTAGCAACAAACTATCCAAAAAAATCAAGATAAAAATCAAGATGCTACTATCCCATTTATAGTAGCATCAAAAAAGAATAAAATACTTAGGAATAGGTTTAACCAAGGAGATTAAATATATGTACACTGAAAACTGTAAAACAACGATGAAAGAAACTGAAGAAGACACAAACAAATGGAAAGATAGTCCATGTTCATAGATCAGAAGAATTAATATTGTTAAAACCTCGATACTACTCAAAGTGATCTACAGATCCAATGTAATCCTAACAAAATCGCAATGGCATTTTTCAAGAAATAGAAAAAAACAATTCTAAAATAAAAGACCCCAAATATCCAAAGCAACTTGAGAAAGAATATAGTTGGAGGCATCACACTTCTTAATTTTAAGAGATTACAAAGCTATAGTAGTCAAAACAGCATGATACTGGCATAACACACACATACACACACACACACACACACACACACACACACACCCCCAATGGAACAGAATAGAGAGCCCAGAAGAATATACAAATCAACTAATTTATGACAAGTGCATCAAGAAAACACCAGGGGAAAAGATAGTTTTTTCAATAAATAGTACTGAGAAAACAGGATATCTGCATGCAAAGGAATGAATTGGCTCCTTATCTTAAACCAAACACAAAAATCAATTCAAAATGGATTAAAAGACTTAATGTAAGACCTGAAATGGTAAAAATGCTAGAAGAAAATATAGGGAATAAGCTCCTTGACATTGGCTTTGGAAATGATCTTTTAGATATTACATCAAAAGCTCAAGCAACAAAAAAACAAGTGAGATTACATCAAACTAAAAAGCTTCTGCACAGCAAAGGAAACGATGGCTTATATGAACAATCGGCAAAATGAAAAGGTGGCTTATAAACTGGGAGAAAATATCTGCAAGTCATAAATCTGATAAAGGGTTAATACATCAAATGTATAAGGAAGTCTCATAATTCAGTAGCAAAAAACGCAACCCAATTTAAAAATGGGCAAAGGACCTGAATAGACATTTCTCCAAAAAAGAAATAAAAATGCTCAACAGGTATATGAAAAGGTGTTCAACATCACTAAGCATCAGAGAAACACAAATCAAATTCACAAAATATCACTTATATTAGAATGGCTCATATCAAAAAGAGAAGAGATAATGTTGGTGACGATGTGGAGAAAAGGGAACCCTTTGTACACTGATGTTGAGAATGTAAACTGTTATAGCCACTATGGAAAACAGTATGGAGCGTCCTCAAAAAATTAAAAGTAGAGCTACCACATGACCCAGCATATACCTCTGGGTATATACCCAAAGGAAATGAAACTGGTGTATAGAAGATAGTTGCACTACCATGTTCACTGCAGCATTAATCACAATAGGCAAAATATGAAAACAACCAAAGTTTCTACTGACAATTGAATGGGTAAAGAAATTGTGGTATAAACAGAATATATAGTGAAGTATTATTCAGCCTTAAAAAAGGAGATCCTGCCATGTGCAATAACATAGATAAACTTTCATGACAGTATACTAAGTGAAATAAGCCAGACACAGAAAGAAAAATAGTGCATGATCTCACTTATACATAAATTTTAAGAAGTCAAATACATAGAAATGAAGAGTATAATGGTGATGACCAAGGGCTGAGGCTCAGGGTATAGGGGTGGAGAATAAGGAGATGCTGGTGACAGATACAAAGTCGTGCTTATATAGGATGAGTAAATCTAGAGACCTACAGTACAGCATGATGACTATAGTTCATAATATTGTATTGTATGCTAGAAAATTGCCGAGAGTAAATACAAAAAACAAGCAACTATGTGACATGGATAGTTAGTTTGCTTGACTATAGTAATCATTTCACTATGTATATGTATATCAACGTGTCATGTTGTAGACCTTAAATATTTACAACAAACAATTAATTAATGAATTAAAGAAGCTACAGTCTGGCATGGCACGGACAGCAGCACCCCCTGAAACGACTGATCTAGCAAAATTGTCTGTGCCATGGACAGAAAGTAACGTGCTCTTGGGTCCTTGAGGCAGGAAGATTCCCTCCAGCTGTGAAGACTAAGAAAGGAGGAGGTGTCTGAGCTGGGCTTTAAAGAGTAAGTACAAGACAGTCTTGCAAAGGTGGGGATATAAAGAGTATTCCAAGCAGATAAAGCAACAATGCACTAAAGCACAGAGAACAGAAAAGCACAGATCCCAGAAGGCACACAATGTGGCCAGAACAAAAGTCCCAAAACAACAGCAGAACACTGAGAAACAAGGTAGAAAAACAGGAAGATAATTGTGGAGGGAGCTATTGGAGATTTCTGACCAAAAGTTTCTAAGCTTTGCCTCAAGAGGACAAAAGGGCAAAGTGGAAGTCCCACGACTTAAGAGGCAGGCAGCAAGAAAGGCAAGGGGCTGACAGCAAATAGACCAGAAAAGTCCTGGCAACTGTAAGTGAGTGGAGGGGGGTGAGAGATGGCACCAAGGCGTGACACAATGGGCCCGAGCTGGGGTGGGTGTGTTGGGGAACCCCTGGAGGAAGAGGTTGGATGCATAATCAGGGCTAGGGTGCAGACCAATGCCACCTGTCATCATGAGAATGGGTAAGGCCGACAAAGGGGAGAAAAAAGAACCTCAGGAGAAAGCAGAAGGCAAAGAACAGGAAAAGTTACAGATGAGAAACATACCAAAAAAGTAGGAGACCCATCAGCAACATGGTGATTTAGTGAAAGAGGACAAAGAAACCAAGGGGAATAAGGCTCAAGAAAAGACCATCAAAAGCAAATTAGGCTGAGTGTAGTGGTTCACGCCTATAATTCCAGTACTCTGGTAGGCTGAGGCAGGATGACAGTTTAAAGCCAGGAGTTGGAAGGCTGAGGCAGAAGGATCACCGGAGTCCAGCAGGTCGAGGCTGCAGTGGCTGGGAGCGGCCACTGCACTCCAGTCTGGATGAGAGAGTGAGACTCCAACTCAAAAAAAAAAAAAAAAAAAAGCCAGGCGTTTGAGACCAACTTGAGCAATATAGCAAGACCTTGTCATTAAAAAAAAAAAAAAATCAAACATTTAACTGGACATGATAGCATGTGCCTGTAGCGCCAGCTTCTTGGGAAGCTGAGGTGGGAGGATCCCTTGATCCCAGGAGATCAGGGCTGCAGTTAGCCATAATTGTGTCACTGCACTCCAACCTGAGTAACAGAGTGAGACTCTGTGCCTTAAAAAAAAAAAAAAAAAAAAGTACCAAGCAGATCAGACCCTGCTGATGGCATTCAAAATAGCAGGAAAGAAGAGGAGAGATGAAAACCAGAGTATAAAGTGAAGAAGCAAATGCATGGCCAAAATATGACACAGCAGCATGACAATGCCTTCAAGATATGGAGTGGGGAAGGGAGGGAGGGGGCGATGAAGGCCAGAATGCTCACAAAGCTAAGCATCAATGGCAAAGTGAGAAGGCTGGCCAAGAGCGCGATTCCAAGGTTCAGCATTCAGGAGACTGCAGGCCTCTGATACCAGCTATTTATGTAAAATGACCAGGTATCTTGCCAATTAAATGCAGTAGCTACAAGGCCCAGGTATATGGAAAAGTCGTCCCACAAAGTGGAGTGAGGAGAGGAGGAGCTAGGCAAAGAGAGGGGACCCTCAGCTGCTCCCTCAGGGGTCCAGAGGGTT